GAAGTGTTTCCTTATGACAATGATGGAGGATTCGAGCCATGGGGGTCTGATTCTGGATAGAGGTCTATTGGGCCGTGAGTCTTTAAATGCTGTTGATGGGAGGATGGTGTGATGCAGGGAGGGATTTTTTCTCTCACAACTACTTTTCCTTTCTTAACGACTTCAAAAAAGGTAGCAATATTGGTAGTTTTGGCTGTGCAGTATTAAAGGAGGATGCATTCAAGAGGTTATAAAAAGTCGTCCATCCTTTTCTTTCCCCACCTATGGAACCAATAGCTTGTTGAAACCACCATTGTTGTCTAGTTTCGCGATTTCAACAATGGGTCCCTTCCTATTAACAGTTTTCTCTATCCAGATTGTATGGTCATCAGGGGAATGCTGAGAAGAGATTGAGAAGATGTTCTTTAGCCAGGTGAGGGAGGATCGCTGGATGGTTAGGAACAAGGCTCTATCTTTGATGGTTAGGAACAAGGCTCTATCTATCGTGAAACGTTTTCGTTCTATGAAAACAGGGCGAACTGAAAGCTGCTGGGCCATGCCTACAAGGGTGTGGATTAGTGCTCACGGCGTGGAGTTGTGGGGAGGGAGGAAGAGAGGGGAAGGAGAGAGCAAGACATGTCTTTTTTTGAAGATGACATAAAAATTGTTTAATTATAATTGAGGTCATTTAGCTAATGTACAAAAATTCGTTTCAAAGTAATAATACATTGCATTAATTAATCTACTGCATTGAAGAGATACTTGGCATCTCCCCTGACAGGGTCGGGAAGAGCCTTCAGGCTTCCCTGTTAACACATCGGTAAACTAGAATAAAAAATGTTTTAGAGGCACTTTATACTAATATTTACTTACTTCATCCTTTCCATTCATTAGATTTGAAGCCCTTGCTTTTGTTTCAAATATAATAACGAGATCTACATCTCCAGCATCATGAAATGAGGCACGCATAAATTCTGCTGAAAGAATGCTACACCAGAAAATTAATATATTAATAGTCTCCAGAGGGAATTAAAAAAAATAGAATAATAAAAGCAGTATATTACATTGATAGCAACTCATTTTCGAAGTTACGAAAAACGATAAGATGCAAAATAAGAAACAAGCAACAATATCTTGCCTGTCACATTTATAAAAATCACACAAATAAACTTTTCAACCTATTGATGTACTAACTAGACTCTTAACCTTTTTTTTTTTTTTTTGAGTAAGAAACAATTTCATTGATGGATGAAATTACAAAAGCACCAAACGGGATTACGTGAAACACTTCAGACTCTTAACATGATTGTATAGTTTTTTTAATCAATAAAAAAGGAAATGATATGGACAATTATGACTACCAACATACTGAATTTAACAATTAACCTCATGATTAAGGTTATTTGGAACAGGCATAGCACTAAGTTTAATATGTCGGTGGTTACAGTATAACTTGGCTTGGTTCGAAATGGAAGCTGTAAAATGTAATGATAGATGAGATTCCCCAAAATGTAACTACAGGAGTTGATGTCATTTACCTTTAAGCTATACTCATGTTGACGGATTCTTTCCCACTTGTACAACAATAAGATTAAAATATTACCTGGTTATGGATTCAATTGATGCTGCTACATGATCACGTAGATGGCGAAAGCAATGAAGACCGGAAAGTTCATCACCCTCCTAAAGCACATAAGAAATTGAACTAATAAATATTTACATTCAGATCAACTGAGAAACTTCTGTTTGATTCAAGCCAACATACTAACTTTTTGGAACGGGAAGAAATTGTCAACAAAAATGTAAACCAAACTTTTTTTCAGAAAAAACAATTTCATTACTAATGTGAAATTAAGAGTACAAAATGGAAATGTAAACCAAGTTTGTTTTTTCAGTTTCCCCCTTCTGAGTGATAGGCAGAGTTAGAATCCATATCTTGGCATCTGGGTCATCTCTTTTCTGCTTTCTTGCGAGACTGACAACCTCCTAGATTTTCAATTTGTTTCTCCATTTTTATTAAATTTTATTTATTTCTTAGTTCTCGTTAATAGGGGCAGTATAAAGCCTATCAAAAGATTCAAGATTACACTGTCATCACTTTAGATTTATTTTTTCCGACCCTAGAATATGAACAGAACTCGTACAGAACAGATAAACATATAGATTTAAAAAATAAAAATCATCTACTTCGCTGGATGAGAAAATACCAGAAGATGTAGTAAATCATCAGTGACATCCAAGGCTCCAGCACAATCTCCTGATGCTACAAGCTGTACGACAAAAGTATAAATCCATTAATACTAGTTTCGATCACTACTAGATATGAGTCCTATGGCCAATATTGTACCTTTATAAAGAGTAAAGAGAAGTTACATAGACTCTCTTCCACAATCACAAGTTTTGTTGAAGGTTCCTTAACTAAAAAAATTAATACTAATCTTCCACCAAAAGGTAAAGCATTCCAATTGGCACAAGCCATAGAGAAATGATAACTATAAAAAAAGTATCCGTGTAAAGCATTCCAATTGGAGGAAACAAAAACTTAACTTTCATCAAGACTCCATCCCCCTATTTTTTAGGAAATACTCTCCTATTTTTTTCTCACCAAACCTCCCACGAAATTGCATTAATGACATTGAGCCATAAAATTTTGGCTTTTCTTTTAGAAGTCATGAAAACAACAGAAAGCAGACTCACGTGTACAAGCCTTCTTAACAGCAGTACAACCAGGCTTGTCCACAATCCCATGCTAAAAGGACACAAAAGGAAAAGGTGATGTGTCAATTCCTAATTTCTTTTAAACACAATACACCAACTTGGAGAAAGACAAGAGTAGGACTTCCTCATTTGAATTTTATCTTGGATGTTAAGACCTCTTGACAGAATAATCACACCAGCTTTATTTTCTTAGGATATCGTCGCATCCAGATTACCTTGGTGGTCTCATGACTGAGAGTCTGAAAAGCACTGCACAGGTCCTGAATACATTACCTTTCCATATCATTCTAAAAGTATTAGCAAATTTTCATTGTTTTTTTAATCAGTACCCGCTTCACGATTGAACATGGTCATAGAATTGTGCTCTGAAAGATCCAATTATAAACTTTGAAGCCGTCGGATTGTTATGAAAAAGCACAGACTCTGACAACAGTTGCTATTTTCTATGACTTAATGCATCGACCACAACTAAGTAGACGGGGTAAAAACTTAGGAATTAAAGGTTCATCCAAGAAACGCAAAGAAATTATAGCAAGCAAATAGTACCATACGTATGATTAAATGGACTGATTAAAATACCAATTTAAGAGCTGAAATGGCCTGATTAACATATAAAATAAGCTTCAACTTCTGCTGAAGAGCCAATAAATTGTTCCTGGTCGCATTCTGCTCCTGAATTTCCCTGGCAGAGTCCACTAAATCGACATCCAAGAGCCGTATGGTCTCCTTTAATTGCCGTATCCGGCTACATCCCTCCACTATCTTCACATTTAAATCCTGTAACTGCCCCTGAGCCTCGAAGAAAGAATTGGAACGCAGTGAAATTTCCTTGACTAAATGCAACTCCACGACATCTAAATAATGTGAAAGCTTCTCTTGGAGCACCAAATTCTGCGTTACATTCAAGAAGGGACAGGCTGCACGGAATGTCGCCCCGTCCTCCAATGCGAAATCTTCCTTGAAGTAAAGCGCGGGAACCTCTCTCAAACATGCCACAAGCGCTTCCCCCTGGCCCCCAATGCTATCCAAGCCGACGCTCTCTTTGGTGGAATGGTTCCGTATGTCCTCGAATCGATGATAAGAATCGGAGATCAAGGCGGTGTAGTTGTTGAAATCGAATCGAGTAACTTCAGAGGAGGCTATGGTGGAGGAGAGGGGCAAGAACTCAGGCGGGCTGACGGTGGACGAAGACGACCACCAGGCAGCCCAAGAGGCATCGGATTTGCCAGCGTGCGGGTTGTTGAGAATTGAAGACAAGCTCTGGCTGCTGGCATCGGAGTTGGTTTTAGAGGAAGTAGTTCGACGAAGACTCGTTTCTCTACTGAGAAGGGTGGAGTATTCAGTAGGGGACCTTCCCGATTGGGAAGGCTGGGACTCCATGCTCAAAATCTGAGAATCATATGAATGAATGGCGGGTTCCAGACAGAAATATCACGTTCAGTAGTCGAATTCCAAAGCGATAGAGATCGAGATGAAGTGGTTCAGACCAGATCTCAACAGACGACGAAGAAAAGCCACGAAAAGAGAAGGAAGTTGGCGCTGGATGAAGGAAAGAAAAACGAACTCCTTCCAATGCAACTCCGGTGGTAGATCTCGTTCAAAATTTCTGGGCTCATGAAATGGAATCCATTCCTATACCACATCACTGCCCACCTCCACCTGCCGATTCCACACCCTTGGCCTTGGCCTTCATTACGCAATTACACATTACCTTGTAATATTATAATATAATTGTAACGCCAATTTAATGAGATTAATTTTTCACATCATTTATCTTTTTCTTTTTCAATATTATCATATTATGTAATTAGAATCATATATTTTTCTACCATTAGTGTAATAACTTCTTAATTAGAGACGATTGTTACTGAGCTAAACTCTACTCAATTAAGTAATCAAACTCAACATAACTCAACAAATTATTTCCTTTATATCTTATGTTGCGGGTTCAAAGTGATTAATGATTTTGATTCAATTTTGTATCAATATATTAACTAAAAAAATTGGCTAAATGAAAATTCTCACTTTATCACAGGCTCCTTTTTGACTTTACAACCACATGTGGAGCCAAAAAGGGAAAATCAGGAATCTATTATTGTTTCTTTTTTTTTTTTTAGAACATGTTGATGAGGAAACTCAAACTCTTAATCTCTTGATTAGAAGTATATGCGAATTACCGCTGAGCTGCTGAAATCTGTTAGAAGCAAGGCAATTCAATTACATTTATAGTAAGCATTTATAGTTAGATAGATATTGTGAGAGCCAGAGGTGTGTGCCACAAATGTTACAACAAAACAATTATGTAACAAAGTTGAGGCGTACATTATCATTCAAACAAGATATACAGCAATGGAAAAAAAAAGGATTGATTATGATTATGTAGCATAGTCTTCCTCTTCCACGGCTAGCAATTAGCATACTCTTCCTCTCTCGAATGATCTCCAAAGCTTCTGGCATTTGATTAAACACAGAATAAAGCAGTTTGCTCCATTCAATTCTTCCTGAACAAGCTTTCTATCTCCAAGGATCATTCGTTTAATTCAGGGAAGCTTTGGTGAGACTTGGCCCCGGATCTCATTCATTGTTGTCCCTTTTGCTTCTTCGTATTCCAAATGTAATTTCACCTGTGTACACCAAATTCATCCAATCCAATTACACTAGTTAAAATAAGAGATTTTGCATAAATATGACTATGTTGAAACTACACTTAGTAATTGTATTTGCCTAATTGGTATAGCCACCCTCATTGTCTTGTTTAGCTTCATAATCAACCACTACACATCGTCCATCAAATGAACTTCCATGCAAATTATACAAGATTCATACCTATCACCACAATTTAGTTTATTTTTCTCAATCAAAATAGCATTTCACTTTAAACTTGTATCTGTTTAATACGAACTTTTCATTAATAGATAAAAAGAAATGTGGGTGTCCCTAAGTATAGAGGAACAAAGCTCCAACTCCCAGTTATTAAAAAAAAAAACAGAACAAAGATAAAAAGAAATAGAACGGTTCAAGGATATAAACTCCTCAAAGGAGTGAAAAGGGAATAAAAACAGAAAAGGTAACAATATGGGAATGGGATAAAGGCACCCCAATTAATACCACGATCAAAGGAAAAGAAATACATGTGCTTTGCTGAGATGAACCACGTCCCCCTACCTTCAAAACCTTTGATTGCAGTTGAACCTTAACTCCAAAACAATTGCCTTGATAGCAAAACCCAAACCAAAAATACCCTTGGGGACGAAAACAAACCTGAAAAAAATCTAAAAACTTCTTCGGAAGAAAATCAGCAAAGATAGGGCCGCTTCAAAGATATAATCAGAAAAAACCATGAAGAATCAATATTCCAAACCAAAGAAGACTTCTTATCTCATAAATTCCCTCCTTCCAAAATAGCCAATAAATAAGAAAAACCAAGAAATTCAGCAACCATCAAAAATCCAATCCTCCATAGACCGAAAGTGCTGATCCAAGGACTTCCAAAACAAAAATTTAACTTGCCAAAAGCATGCCAAGTTTTAAAAAAATAATAAAAATAAAAGAAGACAAAGCAAGAATACCAAGAAAAGTAATAAAACCGAGTTCCACGTCTTAGTCTCAAATTATACTAACCTCTTCCAACTGTTTCTGATATTCCAGAAGCCTTTATCTAGTTATACCCTCGGTCTAAAAAACAACAAATCTAGACTTTACAGGCGTGGTAGCGTCCACTAATAGTACTGCTATCTTTATCTTCGTCCATTATATCTTCAAAAGACAAAATGCTGTTACTAACAATCACTGGGTCAAACAAGCTATAAAAGCATAAAAAAATCAAGCTCGGGGATTTTATCACTGCAGGATGTAGATAGAATTTAAAATGCCTGCATTCCATTTGAATCAGCACTTTGGCTCTCTCTTGATTGAGCTTTATCTTTTGTTATGAAATCACCTTCTTTCTCTAATATTCGAAAAGGTGTATCAAGAACCTTTCATTCATCCTTACAAAGATAGAAATAGTTCAAGTAAACAAGTGATATTACACATGCTAGCCAGCAAGCCAGCTATCTGCACGCTCATAAAAACAACCACCAACCATGAGAATATAAAATTTCTATATGGTACTCAGTTAACGCCAATCTTAGCCGTACGCTTGGTTTACTGGGCCTCTATATACAAATCACCATGTTCGATGATCAAAGTGCTTGTGTTGATTTTCTAGAGAAATTATTAGTGACATTTTATCCATTTCTTTTATCCTATCAACTGTATTTCAATAGCTCGGACCTCGTTTACAAAACAGAAACTTATCAATGACAGCAAGAAGGCCCCATAAGATTAAATACCTCTTTTTTAAACCGGTTGCCTACAAAGGACAACAAGGCCTTGCGAGCTATGAGACAAACGTCACCATTATATGGTCTGATGAGAACACGCCAAAATCACGTCCTCGACTAATGAAGCTTGGTATGCCCTCAATCCCCCGAAATCTGATAACGAGCAAAATACTAATCTTAATTTCATCAATAATTCCATTGGGATCCCGAGCTTGTTCCTCTACCAATTCCGCGGCTCCTCGCCTCCCGTGTCTCCTCGTTGCTGTTCAGACTATTCCCATGCCATTGATCCGACCCGGTTTCTGGATAAGCATATCAGAAAAAAATGGTACCATTCAACCATGTGCTGGTGATCAGGGTACTTGAGCTCTGAAGAGCCTTCACCTCGATCACCGCGTGCTAGAGAATGGTGCTCAACAACGTCGGGAAATCGTGGAGGTAAATTTTCATGGGCGGCTCCGATTTCCCGAGAAAATACGTAAGATAATTTCCTGGAAAACAGATTAGCATCCCAAGGACAACGCAATAACACACTAGCATTTGAAAAGCACGCAAGGGGAGAATGGAGGAGCTGAAATGCACTGAGAATAGCGTATGTTCCAAGGACAACGCAAATATAGTTTGGGTCGGGTAATGGCCGGTATTTGGCTAGAATACCCTCTCTCAAAATCAAAATACAAAATTCAAAATTTTAAGCTGAAATGCCCTAACCCTAAGTTTTACTTTTACCCCAATAACCCTCAATCTAATATTTTATCCTTCTACTTTCACAACCCCTATATTTGTTTTCCCTCTCACTTTATACAACTTGCATGTATTACTAATTTAGTACTAACATAAATGTTGATAGTTAATTGTTGAATTATAAAAAAATTATGAGTAAGAAGAAAAATACTCCACTACAAGGTAAAAATTAATTACCTTACATGGCAAAATGTCGTTAAATCGGTGCATGGAGGGCATAAACGTAAAGAAGATCAAATATAAGTTTGAAATCAAGGGCCTCCTGGTTTAGAGAAATTAAATCAATACAATGTAACAGTTAATTTTGAAGGCCTTTTGTTAAGATATATTTTATTCTAAAAATGCTATGAATAATCTCATTTATGGGGACTGTGATAACAGCACCCAATTCATATGGAGAATCTCGGTCGTCAAACTTTTGTCTTTTGCACATACAGTTGGCTCTCATTCCACCCAACCAGAAATAGAAATAGAGTTGTTTGAATCCTTCACACCAAACACATTAATGAAACTAAGCTATGCTCTATCTCATAAATCAATTTTACTAGAAAATATATGATACAATCCCATGATCTATAGGGGAAAAGGAGTTGGGGAAATCCTCACCCTAAACAATTAGGAATCAGTGTTAGAACTAGAAGGAAATGCTAGAATTGACTGTAATAAGGTTACAACTGAAAATAATCTGTACAACTAAGATTTATCTTCATTGGCCATTGCAAATGTTATGGTTGAATTTTGTTAGCAGATTGTAGACCTGATTGAAGTCTACTTTGAAAATGTGCTTCCAGCCTGCAAGAAACATGGGTAAGCCAACAAGAGGAAGACTAAAAACAAGAAGATGACAAAACAAGATCCATGGCACCGTACCTTGTGGCACATTTATAATAAATCGTCTCAGGAGCATTGTACGTCCGTGCATTAACAAACATTCTTCTCACATCTGCAACAAACATCTCGAAAGTGACGTAATATTGTTCCGAATCCACCCTTTTAGACATCGTCTTTAGATCTACAGCATATTGTCAAAAATGAACATGAATAACATCATAACATGAGAGAGTTGTATAATTATAGACGCTATTCTACAGCTTTATGTTCTAATAAGAAACAAATATTTCATTTATAAGTAAAAAACAAGAGAATGGAATAAATATATATATATATATATATATATCAACCATTCAAAGCCAAGGAACCGCTCCAAATGCAATTAACTGTCAGGTTCTAAAGTTACTGTCAGTAAACAGCGCTTGCAACAAAAATACAAAAGCAGATTGCATGCTAATATCCAAAGAATGCATCAGAGATCCGTGAGACTCATTTGTGAAGTTGAGAGTTCTTACCCACTGGATCCTTAATAATTTCATAATAATCAGGCACATCACGAGAATCAACTGGTTCCTTGAATGGCCATGCATCAACGTGGTCGTTCATTGACTGTTAGTGTGGAAAATGGCAGTAATAATCAATTAACAAACACAAGGACAACGCAGCTGCAAATGCCAAATTTAAGTGCGAATAGAAGAAATAAAAATATGAGTGAATGCATGGATATGCTGAAGTGTTCAAAAAAAAATATGGGCAGGGATTGACAATTGAGTAGATTAAGGATGGCAGTCACCGTCAGCCTCTCTCATAAAAAGGTTTTGAACAAGCAATAATACTTGAGTAGGTTAAGTGTGGCAGCAACCACCAGTCTCTGTCTTTTTTTAAATGGAAACTGAAAACATGGCCATTTCCAGCTTGATTTTGCCAGACCTAATTTTTTTTAGTGGAAGAAACAATTTCATTGATGTATGAAATTACAAAAAACCCTATGAAGGGATTACATGAAGCACTTCCAATTAGCTAGAAGGGAGATTTTGCAAGACCTAGTTAGACGATATTATTAGCACGATTGATTAGGTGCTCATACTTAAACTAAAACTATATGAATACCAAAAGGAAGAAAAATGAAAGTAAACAAGTGAACTTAAACGAGAAACCTGCCTTGAGAAGTGAGCGCATGAATGGAGTCAAATGTTTTTGATTTGAGATCCCGTCAGCAGAGTTTAAGGCTCTGTAACGTGAGAAGCCCCATTGATCAGGTGTCCATCCAGCCTCCTCTATTATCAAAAGTAGCAAACATCTTGTCAGTTAACTATTACATGTGAATAAACAGATTGCTACCAAAATTATAACTAACATTAGACCATAGACGACTTTGTTTATAGTGAGGTGAGTAGAAAATCTGCACCATTCCAAGAGCGCAGGGAGAGGGTTATCTTAAGGATCTAACAAGTGGTTTTCTGTTGTTAGAGAATGAAAAAACTGTAAACCGTACTTTAATAGGGATTTTCAAAAAACAGATCTTTTGTTTTTTAAAATAAAAGTTCAGTAAAATATATGGTCGGGTAACCGTTTTTAGAAGTCATTTTCTCTATCCTTTTAGTTTATTTATACGGATGATTGATTCTTCCAAACTAATTAAGTTGTTCTAGTATAGGCATATAAGTAAATGGTTTCAAGTAAACAAAAACCTTCTCTACAAGTTGCCTGAATATAGTTAGTTACTAAAAGAGGTTTTGAAAACAAAAGCTAGACTGTTCTGAATGGTTTTGAAGATAGTCTCCCAGACAAGCTTTTATATTTTCTCCTTCGCTACCCTCATCATCCAAGTCTCGCCAACTTATGGCACATATAAATGAAAGGGAAGGAAAGAAAATCATATATCTACTGGGCGCCACCCTTGACCTTAAAGAATAGTTTCTGGTAAAATGTCAAAAAAGTAATTTTGCAGATCATAAGAATAACTGATCTAATTAAAGAAAAAAATATTTCAGAAGTACTTTTGTCGCACAAAACCAAACCTATGAAATGAATGATAATCACAATCAAAACCGAAGGTAGAATCTTACTCAACCCCGGGAACTCCTCAACTTTGATGGATTTTTTGGGAATTCCTGCCTCCTTCTGAACAACCAAGTCTTGATTAGGCTCAATATAAAAATAGCAATTCATCGCTCAATAAAATTAGAAAGAAGAGTTTAAAAGGATGTGTTACTATCTAAAATAACAAATCGACAAGCTATGGGTGTAACCAAACTGAGACTACCTGCTACATGGTGAAACACTACTATATATCGATCAAAAACAGATACTTTTACTTTGACTTTGACTTTATGATATAAAAAGGAAAATGGAGTCTTGAGCATATTAGTTCAATCCAGTCTGGTATTTGCATCACAACATGAGAAAAATTAAAAAGAGATTTAATAAATAGATTAATAGACGAAAGTTTTAGATGTTTCAGTGTAACAAAGTACTTCTTTGCCAAGAGGAAACTAAGGAGGAATAAAAAAAACAAAAAAAGAACACCGTAAGTTAATATTTCATCAAGAAGCTCCATCATATGACTAGTTTTTCTGAGGCACCAAAACACTGTAAATCAATATAGGTAGTTCAACAGCATGCGCTTGTATTCAAAATTTAATTTGAAGGTTCATGAATCAGATGAATATCCAGGAAATATAAATCAAATAATGATAAACGTCAAAGTCCCTAGAAAGGAAGAAGAAAGAAAAAGAAAATAAAGAAGCGGAACAATATTCAACCATAAAAGTGCATTTCAGCCTTGTGCAGGATTTACGTTTTAATCCAAAAATAAATACAAAATAAGATTCCCAATTCATTCAACTTACAGGCTAATGTAATTTCTATCATTCAAGAAGGTACAAGTATAAAAGAATATAATTTTTTTATAAAAAGAAAAAACTGCAATTGATAAACAGATCAAGTTTTTAGAGATGAAGTCATGCCTTCTGAAAATCAAGTCCGGGATAAACAATGTGGCAGTTTGAAAGCTCTCTTATCTTCTCGTCAATTGCCTACATCAAACAGAACGAGAGGAGTTGAAAAGATATATATACTAAAATCAAATCATTACAAGAACCAGTCAAATTGATAAATACTAAGATGCTAACATTTCAATGTTCACCTCTACCAATATTTTTTTAGTTCATGCAAATTGCCAGCATTCTTATACAAACCCAGCTAAAAAAACTAAATCTTCATCATTTTTAGACTTCAGCCATCAATAGTTCCATGAACAAAAGAAAAATAAATAAATAGATTAACCGAACTACATATTTGAAACTGCAATGATCAAGCAAAAGACATCTTGCCTGCCTCTGACGGCGAATCATGGTAGACAGATCAGTGTATGGAAGTTTTGGATCAATTTTGCATTCCATAAGGATTCCTCCATCGTAGTCTTTTATGTACCTGGAAAGGAATATATTGTTAAACTTATCAACACTTCAAAGATTTGAAGAATGTAAAATACAACATATATGCATTTGCAGATACAAGCAACAGCAGCTACTCTTTCTTGCTTCCCGTGCAAACAATGACATAAAATAATGGAAAAATACATCAGACAACCATACCAAAGAAAGAGAGTGAAGGTGAACATAGAGCAAATTTTAAGTTCGAAGGCTTACACATTCTTTGATTCCTAAGCAGTCCATGCCTCCAACAGAAACACTGGGGCGTAGAGGCACGTCTGGAATAGTTTCCCAATAGACTCTTTATACTAGAGAACAGAAATCTTAACTGAAATTGTGTTAATTTACTTTACCCTATTACTACTTCTAAGTTTTACCACTATTGCTTGACAAGAGAAAAGTCAAAAAGGTTTTAATGCATGTGGAACCATGTTAAGCCGCCAGCAGAAAGTTTAAGAGAATGTCATTTTTGGAAATTCAAGATTTTGTTTTCCATTGTTAGCTCTAAGTACATTTGAAACTGCTACGTAATCATACTTTTAGTAATACATGGTTTTTCATTTTTATAGTTTTTGTAAATAGAGACAAAAGAGAAAAATCACGTGGCTTAAAACATTGCACGAAGAGAAATCAAGTCTAGAATACTTGCAAGATACAAGAATGAATATTGAATAGTATGGAAAATTATTAACAGCACTGTTCGTTGTCCCAAAAGATATGAAAATAAACTTGTCAATCTTCAAAATAATGAAGATGCTTGTGACATACCCCTGCCATCTGTCCTTCTCCAAGTGTATTTCTTTCGTGAAACCCTACAAGTTTAAGGCCCAAGTCAATTAATTTTTCTTTTTGACATCCAATCCAAAATTTAAAAAAAAGATTATGGAGAAGTGAAATATAATAAGCAAAAGTGGATCCTGTCTAAACACAATTTTCTAAATGACCATGATAACAAATCAGTCATGACTGCATTGTTTTTCCTTTTTAATAGAAGTAGAACTTTTAATTAAAATAGCGCAAAGTGACGAAGTACAAGACTCCCTTTGAGAGTATGGTAATATCCCCTAATACAATAAAATGCCCGAGATCCTATAGGTTTACAAATACATCTTAAATGGAAATTCATACCTCTCTAAGTACAAGGAAATTATGGAAACTCCCCCAAAATAATTAATAACCACAGAACAGAGAAGGCAATGAAGATATGCTTTTAAGTTTTGCTATATCTACTTCGGGCCAATCAGAAAATTTGTAATTGAACATACAAGACTTCCTTTAGCAGTATGATGACTTGACTTCATTATTCAAATTCGTATTTATGTAACCTACTGTGAATGCTCATCTGAAATATGACATTCTATGAAAAGTTTTTTTTGTCAGGTTCAGTCTCCTTATCAAGTGGAATTAAATAATAACTTATTGATCATACCACAAAAATGCCCAGGATAATGGTCAATCTCAATATCAGAAAACAATTTTAAAAATTTTGGTAAATGGTACAAACCACCCAAAAAGTGTGGTAATTGTTATAATTGCACCCCTGAACTTTCAATTGTAAAAATTAAACCTTCAAACTTTCATGAATAAAAAAATCAGACCCATAAACTTTCAATAGTAAAAATTAAACCCTTAGACATTCATATAGTGAGAAAATTGCACCACTAAACTTTCAGTTGTAATAATAAAATCCTTAAACTTAAAAAAATTAGATCTCTTTGAAAATTCCACTCATTATGTTGAGACAATTTCTCTGATTCGGCTCCATTGATGTCATCAGAGAGCTCTATTGATCTCTCAACTTGCCGTTCATAAAGGAAAGAAGATGATGTATAGGGGCGGGACATGATTTGGTTGACGGTGATTTATCTCTGTTTCAGAGATTTTACGACCCGATTGGAGAGACGATCCTTGTTGACGGAGTCGACGTTGAGAAGCTTCAATTGAAGTGGTTGAGGTCGCATATGGGTCTGGTGAGCTAGGTGCTTTCCGCCACCTCCATTAAAGAGAATATTCTTTTTGGGAAGGAGGATGCTGTCATGGACGAGGTAGTGGAGGCGGCTAAAGCTTTCAATGCTCATAATTTTACTGCTCAGTTTTCAAGAGGATACGAAACCCATGTAATTAATAATAGTATCAATCGTTTTCTCAAAACTTTTGTTAAATTGTTGATATTTTGAACAGAAAACATCCCAAAATTTTTCAGATGGGTGCGTGAAAGGATGGAGAAATCTGCAGGGCCGAAGAGGAATTTAGAATGAAAAGTATTGTGAAATGGCAGGGAACTCTGAGAAAGTAAAGATGGGTATTCAAAATTGCGAGGCCGAGTGCTTGAAAAATTGTTCTTTTTGATTTTGAAGAAGCTCTCCAGCGACATCAATGGAGTCCCACCAAAGAAGTTTTCAGAGTGAAAATTTTAAAGAGATCCTTTTTTTTATTTTTGAAAAGTTTAGGATGAAATTTTCTCACTTATATTTTTTTGGATAGGAGCAATTTTCTCACTTGTATGAAAGTTCAAGAGTTAATTTTTCACTATTGAAATTTTAGGGGTTTGATTTTTAGTTGGGTTTAATTTTTACAATTGAAAGTTCAGGGATGCAATTGTAACAACTTTCATACTTCAACATTATAACAACTTTCATACTTCAGCATTATAACAACTTTCATACTTCAGCAATGGTTCGTGCAATTTTACGCAAAAAAATTAAAAGAACAACAGGCATCCGAAGTCATTTTTTAGTTGACAGTTGATCAAGTTTACAATTTAGCTCCACAAGTTGAAATCCCTGTCCTCATTCCAGGACAGAATTAGCTTTGTGCCGGAAAACCAAACATGCTTTATGCAAATGAATAGCAAAGCAATATAGAACAATGTGTGAGTTTTTACAAGAATAGGCAATGAATTAACAAGCATCCAGATGAGTATTATAAAAATGGACCACCATACCTGCTTGGTGAAGTAGCCAACAGCATTATTGTCCGCATACGTGAGAAAATGAGTTAGGCCATCAACATCACGTGCATGCTGTTTTAAGTGATTCATCAATCTGGTACCGTATCCTTTTACTTGTTCATCAGCTGTTATAGCACAAAAGGCTATCTCCCCAAATTTTTGGCTGCAGTAGAATGCCACAAGGAATGAAGGAAGAAAGCGAGAGAAGGGGGAAAAAGAAAATAAGTCAAGAGATCGGCTCCCAACTTAAAAAGATCCTACCAGCACCCTAATCCAATTATTGTTATATAAACAAGTAACCAGTAACAAATGAACATCAACACAAAGGTTAAAACAAAAATAGAATGAGACAAAGGACTGTAGCAGATATGTAAACTGAACCAAGTTTTCAAGGAAAAAGAACAACTTAAAACAAGTTTGCCTCACATCCAATAGCAAGAGGCTACTTGTTTTTGTTTTTCTTTCATTTTTTATTTTTGCACTCAGCAATTGGCAGGCAGAATAGACTAAATAGTGCAGGCCATATCGTAAAAATCACCTGACGTATGGACGATATGTGATGCCACCAACAACCTGATTTCGTCTTATAACCATCACCGATTTGTGGTTCCTGCAAGTTAAAATTTAGAGAAAATTACAAAGAAAAGAAATTAATATTACTGTACCATGAGCATTAATACCAGACTGCCAATTCATTTTTCGTAACTAACTTAATGCCAGCCATTGAGCATCACAAACAATGGGTTTCACTGAAACTAAAAATCCAAGATGACCAACTAACTTAGGTAACGCTTGCAGCCTTGCTCAACAATTTAATAACTCATAGCATAACACTTCAATACAAAAAAATGATTTGTGTATAAGGCCTATTCCAAGGAAGGTTGGCACTGAAAAAAGGCAGCCCCAAAACAAACAGATAAATTAGGGAAATTAGAAATTTGATCATCTCCTGGGAGATG